TTACCTTCAGTTTTGTCTGAGGTGGATGATTCTCCTCTTCCCTTCAAAAAAATTACCCAGTCAAGTCTAATGTTATTCTGCAATGTAAGCAGTGCATTTGAGGAATTACTCATATACACACATGCTAAAATCTTGCTCTCCTGTTGTGTGATCTTAGGAGGAACCAGGAATTCTTTCTTTTGAAACTTCCGTCAATTTTTCCATGCTGACGGGCTAGAAGACCTGTCCCACTTCAGTGCAAAACCTGTCTGTCCTGAAGGAAAATTTTTGTGTGTGTGTGTTTGTTGTTTTTTGGTTTTTATTGGTTTTTTTTTAAGTAAAACGAGTTATGCTGTGCTACTTACCAGAAAAAATAAATCTGTAATGATAACAACTTAATCCAGAGAGAGAATATGGTAACTGTTAGTTCCCCAAACACAGACATACTTCCTTTCTGTCATTTAATTTCCAGCCACATTCAGTGCCCCTCATGGCATTTTCAGTACCCTGACTTACTGCAAGCTGTGCTTTTTCTAGAACAGTACTTTTCAAGGGATTCAGAAAAGTGTATATTTTTGGGTGGGTAAGTTTTGTTTCCAGTTGCTACTGATCTTCTAAACGGAGTTATCATGTTCTAAGAAACAAGGTATTTTGTGTTGCTGCAGTAAGTTGGTAGCATATTAGTTGGAGATCAAGGTTACCTTTTTGAACTTCCTACAGTTCTTCTAAACCTCTTGCCTTTTTCCAGTCATTGGGAAGAGAAGATAAACTTTCTTACTAAATGTAAATAAATAAATGGTATTTAGAAGGTCTTTTTACAAGTTAAAAATCATTCAGTCTCTATATTAATTCTTTCTTATATTTTAGGTTGCTTCAGGTTATACTACATTTAAAAATTTGTCTTTTCAGATAGGGCATGCAGCCTGCCAATTCAAGCTTCCCCCACATTAACAGGTGCATCATGTTAACATTGGTGACATGTGCAACAGGTATTGCAGGTGGGTTGCAGGGAATTGATTGTAAAAAGGTGAAAAGAAAACCTTCAGGGTACATCTGGCATCCCATACTGTGAAAATTGGAGAATCTGGTAGCTTAAATGTATTTTTCAGCCTTACTACTCTGAGCTGATACAAATTAACTTCATTGTAGTCTATCCTTGAATTAGCTATTCTATAATCCATGCAAAAGAAGAATTGATATACGTTAGTGGGACTTTCTTTTCCCAACAGATGTTCTCTTTTACCAGCCTTCTTAGCTTGCAGAAGATGTTAGGTTCCTGGGCAATATCTTTGATATGAGCTTTTACTTTGCAAAATATTGATTGCTTTAGAGTTAGCAATTTGGTATTCATTTCAAGGTTTGGGATTAATTTCTGTGTATTCCCAAACTTTTGAAGTGAATACCAGACAGATTACTAATTCTAAAGCAATCAAAATATTGATTGCTTTAGAATCAAAGGTTTGGGTTTCAAGGCCTGCGATTAACTTGGGGGGGCTAATAAGATAAAAATGAAATCTTATCAAGAGACGTCTGAATTGTCAACTCTTCCTTGTCTTCAGTATGTTGGCAGGAAAATTGCATGCATAAGGGAAGTCCAATGGATGATAATCCATTTTCAGGTTCTTGGCTGGAGCACAGGATTTTATATGTGCACACATTCATAATTCCTTAACTAGTGGTGTTTGACCTGGGTTGACCAAAATGTGAGAATAAAGAAATAAGAAACGCCTCCCAGACATGGTAGAAGGGGGTAGAATAGCCAGGAGTCATAAGCAGTTCAACAGCTGTTTTAGATGAGAAATCTTAATTGCAGGTGAGAGCACTAATTATATCTTCTCCCTTACCCTGTACTCAAGGAGGATAGTTGCATTTTTCCCTAGCACACCATCTGCTACTCTGTGCTAGCCCTACTTCAAGATCTTCTGTGCACTACTCTCTCAATCTTGTAAAGTATCTTTTTTCCCTTTTCTTTTTTAAAGGAGCTTAAATAGGTTTTTTATCCTCTATTCAAATTTATATTAATTAGTCATTATTGCACTGAAGCTTCTTGACATATCAGCAGTAGAGGAAATAAATTGAGAAGGTATTTAGTTACCAGAGCAATACAAATTTTGCAAGAGGTAGTGCTCAGTAACCTAGAATAGGGAAATACTGATTGTAAATTTCTAAGCATCTACAAGTCAAAAGTAATCTTTCAAGGTATGTTTTGCAGTTTCTTCTTTCTCTCCTTATAATGCTAATACATGCATGTGGAGCAGCTGCAGTTCTTTCTCCTGCAATAAAGAACCTACATCAAACCATGTTATTTTTGCGATGGGCAGTTTCTTGCATAGCAGGTATTACCCAGTACACCGATGCACTAGTGTGTAGCCTGATTGCACCTTACAAAGTAAGTAATACAAAACGTAGCAGTTACACAGAATATGAATGGAGCAAAGGTTGAAATCTGAGTAAGTTGAAACTTGGTTGTTTCTTGTCAGTCTTCAAAAACTCAGTGTTCATATTAACTCCAGCTATTGTTCCAAAGCAAAGGCATAAATACTGTTACTGCAAAAAGAATATTCCTATACTTAAGTTAACTTTTCTTTCCGTGTAGGCATGTACCTAACTTAAAGTTGAAGAATGCATTCTTTTTTCTGTTGTTTATTTTTGATCTTGCTGTGAATGATCACTGTATCTTTCCTTCTCTCAGGAGTCATAAGATTATGAATACCTTTGTCTGCAGGAAGACTTCTCAAACAAGTATTTCGATTGAGAAGAAATATCATAGCAAAAGAAGATTTTATTCTATGTTCTTTTTCCATTTTTACAGTTGGAAGATGATGGGAAGCTATTCTATACTCTTGATGATGGTCATACCAGATTTACTGATCTCATCCAGCTAGTGGAATTCTACCAGCTTAATAAAGGAGTACTGCCTTGCAAGCTAAAACACTATTGCGCACGAATTGCTCTTTAACCAAAGCATCTGTTGTTTCATCAGAGGGAAAGGAACATACTAGACTACTTTTTCCCCTAAAGGCAATTTGTAGAGTAGGAAGGGAAAAAGCATTATATTGTGAAGATTCTGTGTTTTAGCTGCAAAAAAAAAAATTATAGATAAGAAATTTGCCTTGTGATTGTCACAGCAAAATTAACTTTATGTTTTAAACAAACATTATTTCCTATGTAATTCTTTAGTGTTGTCTTGGACTTTTGTGTGGGTTTTTTTTCAACTGAAAACAATTTTTAAGAAAACTAATGTTGTGTGACTTCTACAAAAGTATAACTGAAGATCTTTCTTCTTAGGTTTAAAATTAAGTTTGTCTCTTCAAATGTTTCTCATAATTTCTATTCATCACACATAAGAATAACATTTGCTGTGGTGAGGATAAGCTGAACTGCACAGTTTATTTGTAAATAAAATGAATAAATATTTTGCACTATATTTTTGAATGCTACTTTGAGGATTATGATATACAAAAAGTGAAAAATCATTAAAACTACTTCTAACTGATCAGTTGTATCGAGTTGTCCTATTACTGTTGTAATATTTTAAAGGATTTTTTTTCTCTAATCTAATGACTAAATCTACATTTTTATACAGAGCTGGAGTGTCAGTTACGTGGCTGTCATATGTATAAACATGCATAAATTATCATGTCATGCATAACGTGGTTTAGTTTATATCTACAATCTCGTAACACACAGGAGGAAAGAGAGACCTGTTAAGTACTGTGGATTGCAGAGTTGGGGGGGAATCAACTTTAGTTGCCTTTAAAAAATAAAGGTAATGTTCCAATATATAAAAATTTTGAATATTTACAATACTTATAAATAAAGGTAAATCCGGTGAACTGTACTCTTTGCTGAAAACATAGAGTGTATTTGCAGTCAGTTCCTAGTTAATTTTATTATTTATCACAGAATAAAAATTTCACCATAGCTATCCGTCAGCCAGTCTCTAGAGATTATCAAACATCTAACATTCCAACTAAAAAAAACTGTTACAGCAGACCGTCAAATTTTGGGCCATAGTATTAGAAATACTTTCGGTGTCTGTCTTTTGAAAGAAGCATGATACTGCTGCATCTTTGAACAAAGGCTAGAGTGGAATGGGGCTTGGATGAAAAGAGGTGCCCCTGTCCTAATGCTTTGCCGTCCAATAGGCTTGATCTTCTTACGAGGGTTCAGGACCTGGCGCTGGGTGTCTTTGCGCAGGAAAAGGCTGCAGTGCAAAGTAGTGCTTGGAGATCGGCCATGACACTGAATCTGGCCCCTTCTTCCTGTGCTTGCTTCGATTGCTTTTGTCACACATAGCAGCTGTTCTGCTGTAGGAGTTGGTGGGGAGACAAGGTGAAGGCAGCCTGGGCAAGTGACGGAGTAAGATGGGACATGGGGCAGAGCAGCGCCAGTGTGTGTTAAGCCAACAGGGCCATGAAGATGGAAGCATTAGAATAGTATGGTAACTATAGCCTATGGTTTTGTTATTGTGTGTCTGTGGAAGGCAATCGTCGTAACATAATACTGTGATACTTAATTTATTGACTTGATCCACACATCACCGACCTTTTCCTCTGGTATGCAAATAGAGTTTTTAAAGCTCATTAAAAAAGCAACTCTTCCTAACGTGTACCAAAGATGCAACATATGTGGTGCCTAAGCTCATTACATTAGGAATGCCTTGTAAAACTCTTCACAGTCTAATAAATTTAACTCTTAAACCTCAGAATAAATTCAATTTGTAGTTAAAAAAGTACAGTTTTAATTAAAAACTCTTCAGATTAATTTTAATAATGTGATTACTTCTCAGGCCTAGTGTCATTGCAGAGATTGGTATAGAACAAGGAGAAACATTCACCTCTGCATCTTTTTCTTTTGGATCATCTTCTGACAAGCAAAATGAGTTGTCTACTGTGGTACATTTCTACTTGGACATGTGAAAGTTTTGCCATAATTTTTATTTTTATTTATGTATTTGCTAGCATGCTTGGTAGAGAAGCTAACTACTTGGTGAGTGAGTATGGGTCACCTTGGACCTGTCAGAAAAGAGAATGTGGCAATTATGTCATGTGAAGGAGAGACATCAACCATCAAGATTCTTTGCTTGTTTTTTTTAAAGTTAAATTGAATAAAAAGACTAAAAGACCCCCAAGGAAAACAAAGTATTGCTTAAGGAACATGGGTTTTGGACCTTTGAAAGTTTTTAACTGGCAAGTATTCAAAGCATTCTTACTCTGTAAAGTGGTGCCTCCTGCATTTTGACAGCTCAATTCAATCTGAACTGAAATCTTTTTAAGAATACAAATTTGTTTTTTACTAATGTGCCGACCTTTCCTGAAGTGTGTGGTTGCTCATGACTATCCCATAAAAATCAAACCAGTAAAATGAATAAAATGTATTTGGTGTTTAAATGACCTAACAGGCTACCTCCTTGTTTAAATATTGCTAAGGAGGAAGCATGAGGGAAATAGCCTTAGTGTGTAAAAAGAAAGGAAAAAAAAAACCCCAAACAAACAAAAAAACCCCAAACAAATAAACCAAAACTCTTTTAATGTCCCAGACTACTTTAAAATGTGCTAAATGGTACATGTGGTTGATACATGACTTGAAAGATCCTTGCTAGTATTTTCTTGTCAGAAAAATGGCAAGGTTTTTTATGATACCTCCCAGGATATGTCTGACCACAAAATTCTTTGAGAGTATAGACAATGCTATTTAAACATAATTTCAGTGCATTAACTGTGGCTTCTAATCTGGAGTATTATGCTTCTTTGGTGCTCACCTTCACAAAGAAAATTGTCTAATCAATTTTTACCAGCTCAGGGAGAGATCAGTACTATTTCGGGCAAGCCAGTTTATCTGTCTCCAATGGTTCGCTTGCCTACAAAATGCAGAAAGTTTTATATCTACATCATAGTGCATTTAAGGACTGGTTTTATAAAAATCTTACAACTGAAATTGGTATTGTTTGCAAAAAGCTTTTTTAATATATGAGGAAGTTACATGTTTTTATCTTTACTTTGAGGAGGTAAGAATGTACAGTCTGAAACTTCTTGATGGAAAATCAATGTCAAAGCACCTAGGTTGGAAGCATGATTTTTGAAAAATGCTTCGTCCTTTCTTCAGATTAAAATGTTGTACTTCTGTGAGTCTGTCTGTGTAGTGCAGTCCCGTGCCAGGAAGAGAGACCTAAGCTTGCCATGCAGAGGTAGCAGAAGCAGTATAAGCCCACAAGCCCATCTTTCTATCTGGGGTAATTAGCCCTGCAGGGGTATGCTCTGCAAGATGTGAGCTAGTTCAGAGATTGCTCTAAAGCTCAGCATTGTATTTGTTGGCGTGCCCTTTGTGCCTTAGTTTCCAATCTTAGAATCTTCTTGGCTCAAAAGAGATTAAAAGTTAATTCACTGATGTTTCATTATGCATATACATACACGGCCAGAATTAAGGTTGCATGGGCAGCATTAAATGACATTTTTAACTTCTGAGTGTTTTTACTTAACAATCTTATTAAGTCACTTAATGAATTTTTTGAAATGTAGCAAGGCTTCAGTTCATCAAACTAAATGTTTTGAAAGAGAGCTTTAACCCATTAAATAAAAGAGGATTACATATGTAACTAACTACAAGTGGGATCTTTCAAGGATAATTGAATTTCTGTCAAATGTTGTCTGTTACATCCTGGTTTAAGAATTGTAGCATTCTACTCCCTGGGGGTAGAATTATTCTGTAGTGTAAGTGGGTTTGGGGTATCTCATTTTAAGACACAAATCAGCTTATTTCAAGAGAATAGCCCTTTTTTTTTGTAGATGCATTGTTTAAAAGCTACTCATCTTCATCTAAATAGAAGCCACTCAGCAATTAGGTTTAAATGTTTAAGCCTATTTAATAGATGTAGCTTGCAAATCAGTCTAACGTTTGTCAGTAAGAAATCTTACACATAATTTTTGTTAGCTTTATTACTTTAAGAAAAGACTAAGCAATGTACAGCTTATATCAGTGTTTCTATTTGGTTAGTAAAAGAATTATTTTTATTACCATTGTGATATTTCAAACCGCTATTCCTGAGCACTGGAATACATTCCATTTCTAATTTCAACTTTGCAGCTGAAGCTTTCACTGAAATCATTGAAGATGGGACATTCCCCATTACTTGAATATACTTGCAGGCTTTCAGAGGTTAAACACTTATGGTCTATGCATAATCAATGTGTATGGTAGTGCAATTAATGTTAACTTTAATGAAATGCATGAATATTTAAAACTTAATGAATCTGGCTTTACAGCATGCTTTACAGCCTGCTTCACATATGTGAACAGTATTGACTGTTGGCCTCTGGATGTCAGCAGCGTATCACAAAATTCCTGTAATCAGCCGCTGTTTTTCTGCTTCCTCCCAGAAATATCTGTGACTTGTGGTCTCTGCACACCTCCAGAACACCCAGTGCTTTTTCCTCTTATAAATTATTCACTTACTCTGTACCAATTAGTTCTACCAGTTGCTAGGTTTGTTATCAAGTTAAGCTTCAAGACAAGAACCTGAACTCAATGAATGATTAAAAATTTATTAGCAGAGATGATTAAATATGCAGATAGTCTGTGAAGCTTGTTCTTGAAACCATTATATTACCTTTTTAATACTAATGATTTGTATAATTAATTTCAAAAAAGCCTGAAAGTCTTTTTAAAAAAAAATCAGAGTAGGACATAAAAGGGAAGAGATTAAATGCAGAGGAGGCAGTGAACCTGAGTATTAAAAGAGCTCATTCACATGTATAGGCAATAAAGTGATTTCCTTACAGGAATAGTTTGTGGTTTTTTTCCCCTCTGCTAAGTTGATTATTTTATTAATCTTTTAAGCAATTTGGGAAAACTCTATCTGCTGGTGAGTCACATGTTCAAAACAGAACTTTATGTGATTAACGCTGATAATGCAGATGATTCACCTAAACTTTATGGTTAAAAACTATACTGTGTCAAGATGCAGTATCAACAACATTTAAGCACGTGCTGGGCTTTAGGCGTGCGAGTAACTCCAGGGTTTCTGTGAGAAGCACTCAAGAGTGTTGGTGCCACCAGGGAATGCTGGGCAGTGTGGCAAGTGTCAGGCAAAGCTGCTGAAAGCTGGGGTGTCCCCATACCAGTTTTTTGAGGCAATGTGGACATGCGTGAGGTGGGTGGTGAGAACAGC